AAACCCACAAAAATCAGTTGCCTTCCTATACACTGATAACGTACAGGAAGAGAGGGAAATAAAGGGAGCAACCCCATTCACAATAACCTCCCAAAAAATAAAATATTTAGGAATTAACCTAACCAAAGATGTAAAAGAACTATTTAATGAGAACTATAAAAAGTTAAAGAAAGAAATTGCAGAAGACACTAGGAAATGGAAAGACCTCCCATGCTCCTGGATAGGCCGACTTAATATAGTAAAGATGGTAATACTTCCAAAACTAATATACAAATTCAATGCAATTCCTATTAAAATCCCAATGACGTACATCACTGAAATACAGAAAACAGTCCAAAAATTTATATGGAACAACAAAAGACCTAGAATAGCCAAAACAATTCTAGGGGATAAAGACAATATGGGAGGGCTATCCATGCCGAACTTCAAACTCTACTACAGAGCTATAATAACAAAGACAGCATGGTACTGGCACAAAAACAGACCCGAAGACCAATGGAACAGAATAGAAGATCCAGATATAAATCCACAGGCCTACAGCCAGCTGATATTCGACAAAGGAGCCAAAGACGTACAATGGAAGAAACACAGCCTCTTCAACCGCTGGTGCTGGGAAAACTGGGCAGCCACATGCAGAAAACTAAAAGTGGACCCCAGCCTATCACCATGCACCAACATCAACTCAAAATGGATTAAAGACCTTAACATTAAACCTGAATCTCTGAAACTACTGCAGGACAGAGTAGGAGAGACACTTGAACTAATAGGCACAGGAAGGAACTTCCTGAACAGAGTCCCAGGGTCACAACAAGTTGGAGAGAGACTCGACAAATGGGACTACCTTAAAATAAAAAGCTTCTGCACAGCTAAATCTATCGCAACTAAGCTAGAAAGACAACCAACTAATTGGGAAAAAATATTTACCAGCAATATATCAGACAAGGGGTTAACATCCTGTATATACAGGGAACTCAAGAAACTAATCCCTCCCAAACCTAACAAACCAATTACTAAATGGGCAAGGGAACTAAAGAGGGACTTCTCAAATGAAGAAATAAAAATGGCAAAGAAACACATGAGGAAATGTTCATCATCCCTGGTGGTGAAGGAAATGCAAATAAAGACAACCCTGAGATACCACCTTACCCCAGTCAGAATGTCCCACATCCACAAATCAGCCAACGACAAATGCTGGAGGGGATGTGGAGAAAGAGGAACCCTATTACACTGCTGGTGGGAATGTACACTTACACAACCACTTTGGAAAGCAGTCTGGAGGGTCCTTAGAAAGCTAAAGATTGACCTCCCTTATGACCCAGTCATACCACTTCTAGGCATCTACCCTGAACAACAGGAACCAATATACAAGGACACGTGCACCTCCATGTTTATTGCAGCACTGTTCACAATAGCTAGGATATGGAAACAACCTAGATGCCCCACCACAGATGAATGGATCCAAAAATTGTGGTATCTATACACAATGGAATATTATGCAGCCATTAGAAATGACAAAATAATGGCATTTGCAGGGAAATGGATGGAGCTAGAAGGAATCATGTTGAGCGAGGTAAGCCAAGAACGAAGAGACAAACGGTACATGGTCTTCCTGATAAGTGGATGCTAAATCCAAAATGTTAGGTGATACGACAAAACTAACAGGACTTAAGAAACAAAGAACTCCCGCTCATCTGGTTGAACCACTACTAAATATCCCCATGCTGCTGACCACAAATATGGTATATAACATGTGAACACTGTTATATATTACAGACTGTGGTAGACAATTTGCTCCAGGGAAGTTAGAATGAACTTGTAACTTTGAAATTATGTAATCACTTAATCACAATCAAAAAAAAAAAAAAGAACCTTGGGGAAGGGAGGGAGGGAGGGGATGGTAGGGGGAAAACAATGGAGGGGGTAACAATGTTCAAGAGGAAGTGTACTCATTACCTCACTCATGTAACTGTAACCCTCTGTATAGTATCTTTACAATAAAAAAAAAAAAGAATGGTACAGTTATTAACGATGGCATAGCCCGCAACTCGGCTTCCTGAAGAAGTAGATGTGGAACTGCCATCGATGTACCAGGTGTCTTCTGGGTCAGGAAGAGGAGTTTCCAAGATAACTGTATAATGGGGTGTGAATTTCTCCAAGGTCTCTGTACAGGAATAGGAAAGAGGGTTAGAAGTGGATGGAAGCAAGGTGGCTAGATTGAGAGGGGAGCAGCTTTCCAGTGAAAAGTTGGGGTTTTGAATAAAAGTGACATGAAACAGCTGTAGGCGGGAAGGGGAAAGGGAAGACAGGGATTTATGAGACAAAAAGGTCCTTTAGTCTGTGGGGAGAGCGAATGGTAGTGGGTTGGCCAAAAGTGAGTTTTGTGCTGTCCTGTGCTAAGGTGGCTGCTGCTGCCAAAGCTCGAAGACATGCTGGCCAGCCTTTTACCCTTGGGTCTAGCTGCTTTGAGAGGTAGGCCACAGGTCTAAAGGAGGGGCCTGACATTTGTCCAAGAACCCCAAGGCCAATTTTTTGTGTTTCTTCATTAGGATTTGTATATTTATTGGGTTGATTGTCTCAAGTTCTTTATGTTTTTTTTTTTTCTTAGTATGACACCTTATCTGTGGTTCTTAATGCATACTACTATGGAGGATTGCCTTGCTTTCTGGATCACTGTGGTGACACCTGTCATTCAATTAAAATTCATGCTATGAATGGATTGTCTTGGATTCTTGGTGATTGGCTACCCTACTGCCAGAGTCTAACTGAGTTCTTTGCTTTTGTAACCTATTTTTTCCAGGCCAACAAGCAAGTAATGGTAACAAGAATGCTTTACTTTAAAAATATTATTTTTTATCAAGTAGTTTCACAAAGGGGTTTCATTTCTAGAAGTTAGATTACAGGTCCCGTGCATCTTAATCAATGACACCCCTTCCATAGATCTCCCCCATATTTCCCCATCCTATTCCTACCTTCAGTTTACATAGTTCAAGTTTACATAATGTATATTAAACATAATGACTGTATTTGCTCACTCTTCCTCCCTCCATTTGCATGTTGCCCAACACTCAACAGAACAAGTTTCAGTTTCCTGGTAGTAATTTTATTAAGTGTTCATTAGTTGTTCAAAGGAGTTATACCATTGGACTCCTCCACTAAGTATATCATCCTTATATATACAAAGAAACTGACTGAAGGATTATGTACTTTACTTTTGTTGGGGGGTAGGTCCTGAGGCTTGAACTCAGGGCCTAGATGCTGTCCCTGACCTCTTTTTACTCAAGGCTACTACTTTACCACTTAAGCCACAGCTTCATTTTTTTTTTGAGTAGTTTAGTAGCTTTTCTTTTTTGAGTAGTTTATTGGAGACAAGAGTCTCATAGCCCTGGCTAGATTCAAATCATGATCCTCAGATCTCTTGAGTAGCTAGGATTACAGATGTTAGCCATTAGTGCCTATATTTTACTTAAAAAAAAAAAAAACAATTTTAGGTTCACAGTAAAATTGAGTAGACAGTACAGAGATTCTCCTACTCCTCCTCTCAGACATACCCAGCCTCCATTATCAATATACCAGAGTTGTACCTTTGTTGTAATTGGTTACCTTATGCCTATAGTACCACAAGTCTACTGTTTACATTAGTCTTCAGTCTTTATGTTGTATGTTCTGTGGGCTTAGGCAAAGGTAGAATGACATGCATCTTCCTTTATAATATGCAGAGCTGTTTCCTTAAACTCTGTGGTCTCCCTATTCATCCCCCACATCCATGCAATTCCAGAAATACACTGATGAATTTGCTGTTCCCATAGCTTTGCTTTGACTTTTCTAGAAAGTTATATATTTGGAAGGGCTGGGAAGGTGGCTCAGTGGTAGAGCGCTTGCCTTGCATGCCTAAGGCCCTGGATTTGATTCCTCAGCACCACATAAGCAAAAAGAAAAAAGCCAGAAGTGGCACTGTGGCTCAAGTGGTAGAGCGCTAGCTTTGAGCTGAAGAGCTGAGGGACAGTGCCCAGGCCCAGAGTTCAGGCCCCACGACTGGACCCAAAAAAAAAAAATTATTTGCTAATCCAACCTTAACTGGTTATTAGCATTCATCAGCATGATACTGTAACCTTTTCTATTTCATCAAAACACCTTCCCAGTTTCTATAGTTTAGTATTTTGGCTTTTAAAGGATATAGTATTTTAACCAATAATTTGATACTGGCTTTTATTAACTATAATGTTTTCAATCACACTTGAATGATTAACAGTAAGATTTTTTCATTCTTGCTGAATTCATGAACTACATGTAATCCTCCAAAAGCAACCTAGGAGTAGCCACAGGACTCTAGGATTTTTCCTCTCTGGGGCTGTCCTTAACTATAGCTCTCTCTGAGATACTATCTCCGATTTTGTAATCCATCTACATAGTAAGTAGATGCTAAAGCTAGAATGTCAATAACAGACAAGTCATTTTCTCATGTACAGTACTAGGGTTTGAACATAAGGTCTTACATATAGTTAAGCAAATGCTTTACCACTGAGGAGCACCCTCAGTTCCATACCATGCATTCCTGAGTTCCTCCAACATAGAAGAGAAACACCAGGCCTCATATTTGAACTAAATCAGTTTTGATAGTCTCCTGCTTTCATGGATTGAGACCCAGCCTGTTCCTCTTTTACTCTTTCCTTGCTGGCTGCCATGAGATGAGTAGCTTCCTCCTCTAAGCCCTCCCACTTCAGTATAGGGCCTCACCCTAGGCCAAATAGAGCAACAGAGGCAGTTAACCATAGACTGAAGCCTCTGAAGCTGTAAATCAAAATAAATCTTCCCTCTCTTGTGATTGCTCAGCTTTATGATTATCTCAGGTCTTTTATCACAGTGTCAGAAAATCTGACTTGACACTTGTCTTTATGCCATTTAAAAACACATTCTAAGAGGGAACTGCCAGGTCACAAAATACTTAGAAAATGACACTTTGTGGGTTTGAACTTGCATTGACTGTTGTTTCTGCCTTGCAGTTTAGCTACTTGGAGAAGCTTCTATTGGTCCATGGAGCTTGGAATTATTTTCGAGTGACCAAATGCATATTGTATTGTTTCTACAAAAATGTAGTGCTGTACACTATTGGGGTAAGAAAGGAAATGATTTCTTTTTCTATCATTGAGGAATTAAGTCTTTTTTTCCTTCTTCTTTTTTTCGCCTGATGACAGGCTTAGTAGTTAGTAAGACTTTTTCATGTTAAAACAAAATTTCCTTAGGTCAATTGAACTCAGGTTCTCATGTTATTTATCAACTTTTTCACTCAGATAATGCTCTACAACTGGAGCCATACCTCCACTTTCAGATTCTTGCTGGTTAACTGGAGATAAGAGTATCTAAAATACGTTGGTCTGGACTGGCTTCCAAACCCAGTCTTCAGATCTCAGCCTCCTGAGTAACTGGGACTTCTGTGCTTGACTTCTTCTCTTATTATAAAAACAATGATCTTAGAGTATACACTGTGTTTAACAAGGCAGCTATAATTTGAGCCATGTAAAACAAATCTCAATATGATTAAAGTGACTCAAGCCATACCAAGCATCTTCTGTGAATATAATAGAAGCAACTTACACATTAAACCAAGAAATCTCTCTGGAAAATTCCCAAATATTTGAAGACTAAGTAACAAACTTCAAAATAACCCATGAGGAGAGAAGAAGTCACAGGAAAAATTAGAATTTTTGGATTGAATGCATATGAAACTGCAGTGAATCAAAATGTGAGAGATGCTACTCAAACATTAGTTCAGAGGAATATCATAGCAAACAGCACATAAAATACAACATGTAAAAATGCGTGATTTATAAGTGATTTCTTGTTAACTATTCCCATAGAAGACATATAAATTTTACTTATTACAAATTTACCTTTGTTTCTTGATTTGAGAGATTTGTTGTAACATGCCCTGTAACAAATGGATACTTTAGGACAAAGATTCATGTCATTATCAAAGTAATTGGCATTTTAAAATCATAAGTAATAAGCTCTGTCAGTCATAATTTATGAAGGGACACTTATATAGCCCTCTAAAATTACTCTCTACTTGCTCTACCAGTAGAGAGTGTGTTTTTTTCCGTGTTACTTTCCTTTTTCCTTTTCCTTGGTGCAGGAATAGAACTCAGGGACTTGCACTTACTAGACCAAGTCCTCTAGATTGACAGCCCAGCCCACCACTTCCTTTTAATTAACAGCTATTGTTAGGACAACTTTGACAGACTACTTCATTTGGCTGTCTTTTCTTCCAGCTTTGGTTCACCTTTGTTAATGGATTTTCTGGGCAGATTTTGTTTGAGCGTTGGTGCATCAGCTTGTACAATGTGGTAAGTGGTCCTCCTTCTCTTATCAGATAGCATACAGAACTTCAGGAACATTCCTTCACTTTTTGTCTGGGATGTGTATCTAAGCTCATCATCTGTGCACTTAGCAGGCAACACAAATAAAACTATAGGGCCTTTGCTGCTGGGACAAATCTTGGAGAAGCTCAAACTATACTCCTTTTTTCACAAACAGCACATCGTTCCAGAGTAAGTGAATGAAATGTGTTCCCCAGGTGTGGTGGTATCTGAAACCTCTTTATTCTGTTCTTGTCCAGTGCTTTTTCACACACACACACACACACACACACACACACACACACACACACGCATACCCGTGCACACGCAGGTGTGTGTGTGGGGTCGCGGGGTTCCTAGGGCTCAATTTTGCTCAAGGTTAGCACTCTACCAGTTGAGACACAGTTCCACTTCTGCTTTTTCTGGAGGTTAATTGGAGATAAGACCTTTCTGGAGGTTAGTTGGAGATAAGACCTTCGTAATCTTTCCTTCCCAGCCTGGCTTCAAACTGAGATTCTCAGATCTCAGACTCCAAAGTAGATAGGATTACAGCTGTGAACCACCCAGCACCCAGCTTGTTTTTCACACTTGTAAACTGACTTTACATACATACGCCCATTCACTTAATAACATAATTTAAATTTACCTATTTTTATGTTTATAGTTCTGTGTCTTTTAGAATCTCTGGGTTAAAATTTTATCTGTGCAAAAAGTTTGTATTAAATAGTAATCCATTTTCATCTCTTATCAAAAGTTGCAAAAGTGGTTGAGAGTTCTCTGTATCCTCTATCTAGCTTTCCTTATACCTTAATAATCATAAAATGTTATCTTACCAAAGCAAGGAAATTGACATTTTACAGTATTATTTACTCAGTTACACTCTAAGAGCTCCTTTTTTTAAGATCTTTATTTTCTGTGCAGATCTTCACTTCATTACCACCTTTGGCTCTGGGAATCTTTGAGCGGTGCTGCAGTGAATCGAGCCTTCTCAAATACCCAGAACTCTACACTATTTCACAAAACGGGGAAACTTTCAACACAAAGGTAAGTGGAAAATGTATAGTTGTCTTTCATTTCAACTTTTTGTTTGAAACATACCTTTGGACTCTTCCTTTTCTGATGCTTTAGAAAAAAAGTAATTTTAAAAACACAAAAGGATTTAGTCTGTGTCCTATTCCTGCTAGTTTAGTTTATCTTGGAAATGAAGATTCAAATAATAGAAATAACAGTACATGGACGACGGGGGGGGGGGGGGGGGGGGGGGCGGCGCAGAAATGATCTTATGAAGGAGAAAGATGTAGAAAGAAGTGACTCAGATGGTACACTAAACTTGCAGCATGGTATTTGATAGGAATTCCTGGGGAGGATAAACATGAAATTGAAGGGGGTAAGGTAGAGTTGATTGTTACATTCTCTAATTGACCCTTTCATCAATAAAATGACCTTTGTTTTTCCTTGTAGTATTCTTTGTTCAAAATCTACATTCATGTAATATATCACTTCAACTCCTCTTGCTTATCTGTATTTTCATATTTAAGTTTATTGTTGGGAACTTGTAAATTTGCTTTGATGTCTAGCCTGTTACCATGTTAGCTGGATATTTAAAGCACTCACATTTAATATTTAATATGGTTTTTGGTCTTTTTTTTTTTTTGGTGTCAGTCCTTGCTTGGGTGCTGTCCTTGAGCTTTTTGCATTTGAGGTTATCACTCTCCCACTTGACACAAAGCTCCATTTTTGGCTTTTTTGGAGGTTAATTGGAGAGAAGAGTCTCAGAGACACAGCTCCATTTCTGGATTTTTTTTTTTGAGGTTAATTGGAGAGAAGAATCTCACAGACTTTCATGCTGGGGCTGGCTTTGAGCTATGATCCTCAGCCTCCTGATTAGCTAGGATTATAGGCATAAACCAGTAGTGCCCAGCTCAATATACTTCTTGATGTGGCTAGGTTTGAGTTTACCATCTTGCCATTTTATTTGATCTTTAACATAGGGCCAGGGATTGAACCCAGAGCCTTGAACTCACTAGGCAAGTACTCTTCCATTGACTTATACCCAGCTCTATTTGTCTTACCTATAATTTTTCTGTCTGCTTTCAGATAAAAGTACTTTTCATGAATTCCAAATTATTTGTTGTCTTTAGAGATAACTCTTCACTTTTATATCTTAGAAGTTGCACTGGGGTTTATATACATTTATTATAGTCTACTTTGGAGTGATAAAATACTAAACATACACTGTAAGTAAATTAACAGTATATTTCCATTTCTCTCCTAACTTTTGGTGTTTTGTTTTCATGCGTGTTTATTTCATATTTTGTAAGTACCTTGTGTGTGGTGTTGTTCATATCTTGCTTAAGTTATTTTATTAAACTGGGTGCTGGTGGCTTCCTTGTGTCTATAATCCTAGCTGCTCAGGAGGCTAAGGTCTGAGAATCATTGTTTGAAACCAGCCTAAGCAGACAAATCTGTGACATTCTTAGCTACAATTAATCACAAAAAGCCAGAAGTAGAGTCATGGCTCAAGAGGTACAGCACTGGCCTTGAGCAAAAGCAGCTTGGGAACAGTGCTTCTGCCCAAAATTCAAGCCCAGTACACAAGAAAATTATCTCATTAACATAAATTAATTATACAAAAGGGTATTTCTGTTTTATGTTGATACACATGCCTTCCTACATATGTCTGAAAGACCCCTAAAGCCCCTTGGGAACTATGACTGGCAGGATGGAGAAAGCCTGAAATCAGCAGAAAACTGCTGGTTGTGTGACAAGATATCTGAGTAAAGACAGGGGACTCTGACAATCCACAGTAATCCTGTCAGAAGGTGGATGAGTGCCTGTGTGTATTTAGCTCACTGCATGCATCCTGATACTCTATTATCTGTCCCTTGGAATGGGCCTTTCTATGTATAACCAAAACCAATCCATGTCCTGTCTGATTCCTTAAAAGTAGAGGATGGGCAAGACTCCTTTCGATTAATTATGTCTGTTGGCTAAACTCATTCCTCGCTCTCCTGGGTAAAAATATTGTTGCATGAGTAATTTTTCATTTGTTAGGGCATCTGCTGGATGGAACTGGCCTATGCCCATGAGTGGTTACATGAGTGGTATAGCAGGGTCAAGGTAGGTCTTTGTTTAGTGTTTTGATGTACTTCCATGGTGATTTCCATAGTAGGTACACTAATTTATATTACCACCCACAGTTCCTTTTCCCATTGAATCTTTGCCAACAGTTGTTGTTTTCATACTGATTGCCATTCTGGCTGGGGTGATTACCACTTCTGGGGCTTGAACTTAACTGCCTAGGCACTGCCCCTGAGCTTTTGTGCTCAAGGCTTGCCCTCTACCGCTTAAGCCACAGCTCCCTTTGACTTTTGGTGGTTAATTGAAGATGAAAGGACTTCCCTGATCTGGCTGGTTTTGAACTATGATCCTCAGATCTCCTCCTGAATAGCTAGGATTACAGGTGTGAGCCATGGTGCCTGACTAGATTTTTTGTGTGTGTGTAACACTTTAATTTGCATTTTCTTTTTTTGTATTATTTAAGTTAAAAGTGATGTCAGAGGGGTTACAGTTACGTAAGTAAGGTAATGAGTACATTTCTTGACAAAATGGTTATCCCCTCTCTTGTTTTTCCCCTTTCCCTCCCCCCCTCGACTCCTCTCCCACCAAGTTGTAAAGTTCATCTCCAACATAGTGTTTTGTGAGTATCACTGTTGTATTGGTTCACCCTTTGTCCTTTGCCTCACTATTTTGTTATTCACTTTCTCTTCCCAAATCAGATAAACGTATATACAAGACACAGGGTACCAAAATCAAAAACAGTGACAACAGGAGATAAACAAGAAAAAAATGAAAGAAAAAAAGAAATTATTTCATATAGTACATTAAAAAACAAAAACAAAGAAACAAAAAAAACCCTGTCATTTCCCTATCTTGGAGTTCATTTCGATTAAGATCATTTAATATGGTCATATGATCATAGCTATTGAGCTATTGTGATCCTCTGCTAGGACTATCCTAGACATATACTAATTGTTACAAATGAGGGAAACCATGACTTGCTTTACTAAATAGGATTTTTTCCAAGTCTTTCCAGTTCCTTACGAATGGGACAATGTCATTGTTTTTGATAGAAGCACAGAATTCCATTGTGCGTGCACACGCGTGTATGTGTGTGTTTGTGTGTGTGTGTGTGACACTTTCTTGATCTATTCATCTACTGAGGGGCGTCTGGGTTGGTTCCATATCTTAGCTATTATAAATAATGCTGCAATGAACATAGTTGTGTTGGTAGCTTTAGTGGGGCCTTGTTCGTGATCATTTGGGTAAATGCCCAGGAGTGGGGTTGCTGGGTCATAGGAAAGGTCTATATTTAGTCTTTTTTTTTTTTTTTTTTGGTCAGTCCTGAGGCTTGAACTCAGGGCCTGGGCATTGTCCCTGAGCTCTGCTTGCTAAAGGCTCACATTCTACCACTTGACCCACAGCACCACTTCCATCTTTTTCTGTTTATGTGATACTAAGGAATCAAACCCAGGGCTTCATTCATGCTAAGCAAGCACTCTACCACTAAGCCATATTTCCGGCCTCTATGTTTAGTCTTTTGAGGAACCTCCATACTGCTTTCTAGAACCAGTTTATGCTCCCACCAACAGTGTAGTAGCTTTCCCTTTTATCTGCATCCCCACCAGCATCTATTATTATTTGTTTTCTTGATAATGGCCATTCTAACTGAGGTGAGAGGGAATCTCAATGTGGTTTTGATTTGCATTTCTTTTATGGCCAGAGATGTTGAACATTTCTTCTTGTGTCTATTGGCTATTCTTATTTTCTCTCCAGGAAAGTCTCTTTTTAATTCTTTCACCCTTATTAATGGGGTGGTTGTTTCTTTGCATTTTCTTTATGGCTAAGAATGTTGACCATTACTTCATATATTTACTGTTCCTTTTTACTTCTTCAAAACTATTCATTTGCTCAGTTATTAATTGGATTGATGTTTAACCTTCCAGTTCTTTGTATATTTCTGGATATTATTTCTTTATCCAATCAGTAGCCATGAAAAGTTTTCTCTCATTCTGGTTTGTCTCGTCATTCTTGTTTGTCTCTTCATTCTTGTTTGTCTCTTCATTCTTATAATTGTTTCCTTTGAGGTGAAAGAGCTTTTTAATTTAGAAACCTTTGTTTCAATTCTTGCCTACATTTCCTGAGCAGTCACAGTCCTACTTAGAAAGATATTACTTTTACCTGTATCTTCAAGGGTCTTCTCCTAAGTTTCAGTGTTTCAGCCAAACATTTACATCTTTGATCCACTTTGAATTAAGAACAGGGTGTGAAATGGGGATCTTCTATATTCAGTATAGAAGATCCAGTATTCCCAACACTAGATGTCAAGGCTATGTGTTCTCCATTGTTTGTTGGAGAAACATCTGTATCCTTGATAATCACATCTACATGGTCTAATAAATGTACTTTGTTTTCAAACCCCAATATTGTATCTCTGTATTGTTCCCATCTACCAGAGTGGCTGCTGAGTCTTTTTGATACTACTAGGGTTTAAACTCAGGGACTCCCACTAGCTACTCTGCTGCTTAAGCCATATCACCAGTTGTCACTTATTTTAGTTTATTTTCCAGAAAAGATCTCATACTTCTCCCCAGAGCTTACCTCAGACCATGATCCTCCTACCTGCCAGTAGCTGAAGTATTAGATATGTGCTACCATGTCTGGCTTGTTTGTTGTTTTATCCAGGATGGCCTTAAATTGTGATCCTTCCCCCTCATATAGCTGGGGATTACAAACATTGGCCAACCATAACAGCTAACCTATGTTTTTTATTTCACCTATTAATCTATTCATGTCTAGAATTTCTGTTATAGTTTTGTTTCAAACTTTTAAAATTGTTACTTAATTGCATATCCTTCATTTCACTTTGCTCTTTTTTTTTTCAGTCTTCTTAGAATTCACTTGATGTTTGAATTTCTTTAGGGTATTAGTGAGCTTCAGGTCATTACAAAGAAATGACCGGGGCAATTAGTTGAGGGTTCTGGAGTTTTCAATTCAAGATTGAGTGTCTCCATAGCTTTGGGCCTCTGGTTATCAATGAGATGGAACATGTGTTGAAGCAAACTATTTATATCTTGAGCCAAAAAGCAGAGAGAAAGAGAGAGGGTACAGGCCAGAGTCTTGGTACATTCCAGTGTCTCTGAAATGATCTGAAGTTTCCATATAAGATGGTAACAAAACTTTTATATATGAACCTTTGGAGGATAGTACTCATATTTACACTTGGCACTTGGTTGAAAAGTCTAGGTAGTTTTTGTGTTTTGCATTTTGTGTGTTTGGTGTTTTCCGATGTCTTCATGTGTGTACCGTTTTTTGGTGTGAAATTGCCATCATTCTCATCTGTATGATTCTGTACGTAATGTAATTTTTCCATGTGGCTCTTTCTATGATTTTCTTTTATATTTCTGGATAGCAGCATTTCACTATGATCTTATTACTCCCTCTGTCCTGTGCTTCCTGGAGCTATTGGAGTTCCTTGAGTTTCTTGGATCTGTAGACTAATTGTAGGATCATCACCAAACAGTGATCTATGAGACAAATTCAGCCCTCATCATGTTTTATAAATGAGACAATAAAATATCATTGAAAATTACATATTATCAATAGCTGACTATTGTTATAATAACAAAATTCCTTTGAGTAGTTGCTACAGATATTATACAACAACTTAAAGTCTACTTATAAGACTTTCTGGAGGGCTGGGAAGGTGGCTCAGTGGTAGAGCGCTTACCTTGCATGCCTGAGGCCCTGAGTTCGACTCCTCAGCACCACATAAGCAAAAAGAAAAAAGCCGGAAGTGGCACTGCGGCTCAAGTGGTAGAGTGCTAGCCTTGAGCTGAAGAGCTAAGGGACAGTGCCCAGGCCCAGAGTTCAGGCCCCACGACTGGACCAAAAAAAATAATAATAAAACTTTCTCAAAAATGTGATAACATATTTTAAAATTGAAAGAACAAAGAATTATTTCTGTTGTTTCTATCACTAATATATACCTTTAATTGAACCTAGAAATTTTCCATCACTGAGATTTCCTTTAAGAAAATTGTGGGAACTGGAGGCTTGGCTCAAGTGGTAGATGATCAACTGTGAGCAAAAAAGCTGAGAGAGCTCAAAGCCCTCAGTTCAAGCCCCAGTACAAAGAAGGAATAAAAAAGGAAGGAAGGAGAGAGTGAGAGACAGAGAGAAAAGTAACAAGTTTGAAAAGAAATGTACTTATTACCTTACTTGTGTAACCAACACCTTGACAATTTAAAAAAAAGAAATGATTGTGAATGAAGGTCAGAGTGTTGATGTAAAAGATTAAAGTAGGGCTGGGAAGGTGGCTCAGTGGTAGAGTGCTTGCCTTGCATGCATGAGGCCCTGGGTTCGATTCCTCAGCACCACATAAGCAAAAAAGAAAAAAGCCGGAAGTGGCGCTGTGGCTTAAGTGGTAGAGCGCTAGCTTTCAGCTGAAGAGCTGAGGGACAGCGCCCAGGTCCAGAGTTCAGGCCCCACAACTGGACCCCCCCCCAAAAAAAAGACAAAAGATCAAAGTATATCATATGAAGTATAGGATATATCCTTATAATAATTGTGTCCTGTTCTATATCAATATTATAGTATAATTCCAAGTAATATTATGCCATATTTCCACATATTATTCAATATTATCCTATATTCCTTTTAAAGGAGATAAAAAAGTAGAGTTTTTCTGTCTCCAGGAAAGCATACACAGAGCAAACGCACTTCACAGTGTCATCTATTTTCAGGCATAAACGAAGCTTGTACCCTGACTGCTTGCTTTGCTGTCTTGCAGGTATTTTGGATCCAGTGCATGTGGGCTTTGCTTCACTCCTTCATTCTTTTCTGGTTTCCCACAAAAATGATGCAGCACGGTAATAGCAATGTTGTTTTAAACATTCAGCACTCTGTGTTATTCTCACTCTGACTTTATGTGTTTCTATGTGTGTACATAGAAAGAATGGCAGGAAAGATAAAAGCAATTTAGGAAAAAATAAAACATCTACCTAAACCTAAAGTAGACATTCCTTGGACTAACATATGGCAGTTTGAACACTTATCAGATGACATTTAGAACCCATTCTCTTTGCCTCTGACACATAACTTGAGGCCACACATGCATTTGTTGCTAATCTCCAATACTTGAATCAAGAATTCTGATAGCAAACACATCTCTAATGAATCAGAGATGTCTCTTAATGGTAAATTTGAATTCGCATCCAAAACATAATGTGTCAAGTAAGATAATGTCATGAGTTAATAAAACTACATAGAAATTTAGCCATATACTTCATTATTAGACCAATACTCCTTTTCCTGCTATGTAATTTTCAAAATAACATTACATGAAGGCCAGATGCCAGTGGCTCATGTCTGTAATCCTAGCTGGATCTGAAGATCCAAATTTGAAGCCAGCCAGGAAAAACAAATTAATCTGCAAAAAGCCTGAAGTAGAGGTATGGCTCAAGTAATCAAGCACCAGCTTTGAGTGAAAAAGCCAAATGAGAAGAGAGCATGAGATGCTGCTGTGTGCAAGTCCAGTACTAGAATTTTATATATGTTTACCTTCTAGTCTTAGTTAATAATGGCAATTTTGGAGTGCAAACTCCTGAACTGAATACCAGCTCAAGGGACTTGAGCTCAATTATTCTGATTTGTTTTATAGTTAATTGGAGATAAGAACCTCATAGACATTTCAGCCTGGGCTGGCTTCAAACCTGAATCCTCAGCCTCCCGAGTAGTTAGGACTACAGGCTTGAGCCACCTGTAGCCAGTAACCAACTCACATTTATTTAAGAACATTTTTAAGGGTAGAGAACATAAGGAGAAATCATCCTAACCTTGAGATAATAGGATTTTCAGCAGCTTTAGCACTGTTTGAAAAGTATTAGGAAATTCTACCAAAATTTCAAAGTACTGAGTTACTAGTGATTCTAGAAAAGACATAGTATGGCAAACAAAGTTGTGAAAGTTTCTTGTTGTCTAGCTACTTGGACTTTTAATGGACAGATTCTACAAAGTGGCTTAATCCAGGTTTGGTAATCACATCCACTATACTCCTTGTGATTTTCATTCTTGCGTATTCTGGTCATTGGTTTCTGCATTTGTTGCCTGATAGGTCATTGCAGGGAGTACAAGGTGGAAGAATTTTCCAGTTGTGATATAGGAAGCGATGATGTCATGGACAATAATTTAAGAATATAGCCCAAAATTCATAAGTATTTTTGATGTCCAGTATAGGTTCTGTTTGGTTAAAAAAAAACAACAAAGTCTATGTTTCAGACTCCAGAAAGGTCTGAAAATGACTCTTCCACTTTTCAGATGTCCTCCTGCAGCATGGGTATACTACAGATTATCTGTTTCTTGGTAATTTCGTCTATACGGTAAGATCGTCATCCAGGTACTTTATATCATTTTCCTTCTTTCTAATTGAAAAATGGAATTGAACATCAACCATTCTATCACAGTATCCTGTGAATTTTAAAACTTACACTCATATCTTTTTCCAAGAAGAAACTACTGTAGCAATTGCTAAAGCACAAAGTTAATTGCACATGTAGTACATAGTTAATTCTACAGTTCTAGAACTATTTACAATAATAGAATGTAGGGCTCATATGAAATATGTTACCATCCAGCACCACCACCACCCGCTTTTGTATACGTAGGTAGTGCTCTGTGACAATCTTGCTTTTAGCTATGTTACACTGCTTGATGGCAAGTTCAAATCAGTCCATAAATCTCTACCCTTTCTTTTCAAGGATGCTGTGTGAATAATACCCTCACTTAATCAGTCCATTAGGGAACATTACATTTGTTCTTAGCCCTGTGACTAAGTCCTGAGACCTCAACGTGAGGTTACTAGCCCACCCCTTCTAATGTACTGATAAGAAGGTTGAGGAGCTGGAGAAAGATTCTAAGCCCAAATGACCAAGGTGGAGACAATCCTGGTGCTCTCTGGAAATTAGAAAAAGCTGCTGAATAACAGCACAGAACAAACTGATTTGGGGGAAGGAAATTAGAATAATGGTAAAGATGAACTTGAAGAGGTAGGTAGGGATATTGCCTTGGAACTCTTCCGGTAAAGGGCTTTAGCATAGCTTGTATGAGATGATGGAAACTTGCAAGAATATTGACATTGGAGATTGAAACAAAGGAAGTAGGACTTAAAACGGTCAATATATCACTCATCTGTTGCCGCATAACAACACATGTTGTAGCAAAATCACATAGCATTTCATAAAAGCAGTCTCTTGACTTGTCTTGTCTTTGAACCAGGGTCTTGGTGTGTTAGCCTAGGTTGGCCTGAACTCACTATTTAGCCCAGGCTGATCCCACACTCATGATCCTCCAAAGTGCTGTCTGTGATTATAAGTATGCTCCAGCTACCATGTCTGGCTCTGAAAGTCCCATAGGACCAGCTCTCTTGAACATGGCAACACAGTTTTAATACAAAAAGATAAGAAAAAAAAAAGTGCAGCTTTAAAAGTAGGAAATAGGATAATTTACCTAGTTTGAAACTTCCTCTTTTCATTTACTCATAGATTTTTCACATTTTTCTGTTTACTTTATTGACTTTGTTACATTCCATGATATGAATATTTCTGTTATTTCTAAAAATAAATGTGTTATTTTACAAATAATTCTACAAACATATGCATACTTGTGTATTTACTGATGTAACTTTTTCTTCAGATACCATTAGATGGTATCTGTGCATACATGGAAAGTACAAAAAGTTCAGTAGATAAAATACTACAATTAGGCCAAGCATTGGTAGCTCATACCTGTAACCTTCATTACTCAGGAGCCTGAGATCTGAGGATTGTGGTTCAAAGGCAGCCAGGGCAGAAAAGTCCATAAGATGCTTATTTCCCATTAACCAGCCGAAAACCAGAAGTGGAGGTGTAGCTCAAGTGGTAGAGCACCAGCTTTGAGCCAAAAAGCCTAATGAAAGAGTGAAGCCCTGGGTTCAAGCTTTAGTTCCAGCACAAAAAATTACAATTAATGAATGAAAAGAAATGATCAGATTAATAGATAATGACAACTATTTAAATATCAATTATATTTCAACATATTAGAATATTAGAAAAATTTAAAAATGTAGAATACCATTTTGTAATGGTATTAATCATATGGAAACCAGGAATAAATGTAGTGAATGATATTCACACACTTGCTGGGAAAAAAATTCTAAAACTTTATTGGAAACAATATTCCTTGACTAAAAGACTCAATATTGTAAAGAAACCAACTTTTCTGAAATTGGTATACACACAAATGTATACACATGTATGTATATGTATACGTCCACATATATTGGTATATGTATACATCTTATATATACACACAAGCATATATATGCATGTCAATTTGAGTTATATGTTAGGAGGTTTCTAAACTTGGATAAGAAATTCTCCCCAGAACTAAAACCTAACAGAAAGAACACTTACCAACCAATGGCAGCAGAATCTGCCAGATAGAAATGAAGGTCCAAAAGAAGTGGGTGGATGTGGTTTCCAGTGAAAAGTTTTAATTCATTTTTCCATTCTCTTCCCCCTCTCCATCACACAGTATGTAGTTGTTACGGTTTGTCTGAAAGCTGGCTTGGAGACAATGTCCTGGAATAATGTGAGTATGCTTCAGGATTTCCCCCGTATCCACTGTTCTGGTTTATATGCCGATTTGCTCTCAAGCTTAGGCAAATAATAAGCCTTTCTTCTGGTCTCCATATTCTACTTTATTTGGTTTCACATATTTAAGCAATGCTTTAAATTGGATGAAGGCATATTTATATTCTAACTTGCACTTAAAATACTTTAGATAAGCATGCTATTACCTGAGATGTCACATTTATTATTATTATTCAACTACAGAGAATAGAAAAAGAAAAAAATATACATTGTCTGTACCTCTTGGTGTGAATGGTAGTGATGTTTTAGAAACTTTGAAATCCTTGCTCCATATAGGCTATTTTTTCAAAACAAAAATAGGATAATTTACCTATTTTGAAGCTTACTCTTTTCACTTACTCATAGATTTTTCACATTTTTCTATTTAATTTATTGACTTTGTTACATTTCATGATATGAATATCTGTTATTTCTAAAATAATTGCATTATTTTACAAATACTACTATGAAAATATGCATACTTGTATATTTACTGACATAAAAATTTCCTTAGGTTATTACTAAAAGCATAATTTTATTTTCTATAAACTTACAGTTGTTTTTTGGTTTTTGGTTTTTGGTTTGTTTGTTTTTTTGGCCATTAATGGGGTTTGAAATCAGGGCCTGGGCACTCTCCCTGAGTTTTTGTACTCAAGGCTGGTGCTCTACCACTTTGAACCCCAGTGCCACTTCTGGTTTTCTGGTGGTAAACTGGAGATAAGAATCTCACAAAATGGGCTGGGAAGGTGGCTCAGTGGTAGAGCGCTTGCCTTGCATGCATGAGGCCCTGGGTTTGATTCCTCAGCACCACATAAACAAAAAGAAAAAAAAGCCGGAAGTAGCGCTGTGGCTCAAGTGGTAGAGTGCTAGCCTTGAGCTGAAGAGCTGAGGGACAGCGCCCAGGCCCAGAGTTCAGGCCCCACGACCGGACCCAAAAAAAAAAAAAAAAAGAATCTCACAAACTCTTTCCTGGGCTTGCTTTGGACCGTGATCATCTTCAGATCTTAGCCTCCCAAGTAGCTAGGATTACAGACATGAGCCACTGGTACCCAACTAAACTTAAAATTTTTTATAATTTGTTTTTTTAAATTATACACACAGACATGCATAGTTAGGAGGAATGAGTTCATTTCCAGCTAATACTCAAAAAATGTATGTGATGAGCTGGGAATTTAGCTTCGTGGTAAAGTGCTTGCCTAGCATATGAAAAGCCTTAGGTTTGATTCCCAGAACCACCAAAAATACAGGGTTTATGAAAAAAATGGATGTGTATTAGGTTATTATCCATGGAGAGCTTAAACCATACAATATATACATCTTTTTCTTCCCTTCTGAAATAAGTTTAGGGTTCAAACTTACGCAGTCTTCCCAACTATACACCACCATTGAGTTTGAACAGATGTATTTAATTGGCATCTCATAAAAATATAAAGTAGAAATGTGACGTATCACCTGAACATGATTTAAACATATAATAAATTGGTATTTCTTTTTCTTAGTGGTTAAATTTTCTCCAATAAGAACATTTCTTAAAGTTAGGCACTGATAATGACTCAGGCCTGTTATCCTAACTATGTGGGAGACAGAGATGTAAAGATTGCTGTTCAAAGCCATCCTGGGCAAACAAAGCCAAGAGACTCTGAAATGAATTGCCAAAAAACAGAAATGGAGGCATGACTCAAGTAGTAGAGCACTAGCCTTGAGTGGAAAAGCCAAGCAAATGCTAAGCACTTCAAACTCCAGTCCCAGCACAAATGCACACATACACACACACAAATAAGGTTGGGAAAGAGAATTGAATTGTTTCCTCCTCTTGTCTATATACTACTGTGCCTTGTGGGGAAGCTGGAGAATTTGTGTAAAAGGAAGACTTCTTCACTGGGAAAGAAGATGCTGGAGCCAGGCCTGATGGTACATGCCTATAATTTCAGCTACTCAGGAGGCAGAGACTGGAGGATTACAAGTTTGGAGTCCATTCGAGTAGCTGTAAAAACTTGTTCTAAAAGAATGGAAGAATATCCTAGACAAATACTGGTTACGCAAATAAGGGAAATCATGGACCTATATTTCTTTGGGCCTGGTTTATTTCACTTAATATAATTTTTTCTAAGTCTTTCCATTTCCTAAAAATGGAGCAGTGTTGTTCTATCTCATGGAGGCATAGAATTCCCTTATCTTGATCCATTCATCTACTGAGGGGCATCTGGGTTGGTTCCATATTTTAGCTATAGTAAATAATGCTGCAGTAAACATAGTTGTGCTGGTAGCTTTAGTATGGTCTTATTTGTGATCATTTGGGTAAGTGCCAGGAGTGGGATTGCTGGGTCATAGGGGAGCTCTAGGTGGAGTCTTTTTGAGGAACCTCATACTGCTTTCCAACGTGGTTGAACAAGTTTACATTCCCACCAACAATGCAGTAAGGTTCCTTTCTGTCCACATCCTCTCCAGCATCTGTTGTTATTAGATTTCTTGATTATAGCCATTCCAACAGGGGTGAGGTGATATCTCAGTGTTGTTTTGATTTGCATTTCTTTTATGGCCAGAGATGTTGAGCATCTCTTCATGTGTCTGTTGGCTGAGCAGAAAAGCTCAAAAGCTATGTACATATAACCATATAATATGATGCTAAGTGAAATGAACCCCAAGATAGGGACACAAGAGGTTTTTCTTTGTTGTTGTTGTTTTTAAGGTACTAGGTGATTTTTTTGTTTCTTTTGTATGTTCTTCCTCCTACGATATAGCCCCTGTTGTCACTGTATTTGATTTTGGCATCCTGTATCTTGTATATACATTTATCAGATTTGGAGATGGGAAGGGGAATAACAAAATGCTGAAACAAGGACACAGGATGACCCATTGCAATAATGATACCCACAAGATACTATGTTGGAAATGATCTTTACAACTTTGGCCACGGTGGGGTGGGGGGGAAGATATGGGGAAGGGAAGGGATAGTTGGAAAAAAAACAAAGGGGGGGTAACAATGTTCAACAAGAAATGTACTCATTACCTTACTCATGTAACTGTAACCCCTTTGTACAGCATCTTTACAATGAAATTTTAAAAAAAAAACATTAAAAAACAATGGAAGAAGAGGCAAGGTGCTAGTACTTCGAGCAAATGAGGAGGCTGAGATCTGAGGATCACAGTTCAAACACGGCCTGGGCAGAAAAGCCCATGAAATGCTTATGTACAATTAACCACCAAAAAGCTGGACGTGGAGCTGTGACTCAAGTGGTAGAATGCACTAGCCTTGAGCAAAAATTCTCCGGGACAGGCCCTGAGTTCAAGCCCTAGAACTGATACCAAAAAAGAAATAGAGGGAAGAAAGGGAGGGAGGAGGGAAGGAAAGAAAGAAAAAGAAACAGAAAGAAAAAAAGAATGAGAGAGAGAAAAGGAAGATGGGAAAGGGCCTGGAGATGTAGCTTAGTAATAAAGTGCTTGATTCGGGCTGGGAAGGTGGCTCAATGGTAGAGCGCTTGCCTTGCATGCATGAGGCCCTGGGTTCGATTCCTCAACATCATATAAGCAGAAAAAAGGCCGAAAGTGACTCTGTGGCTCAAGTGGTAGAGCACTAGCCTTGAGCTGAAGAGCTGAGGGACAGCGCCCAGGCCCAGAGTTCAGGCCCCACGACCAGACCCCCCCAAAAATAAATAAAGTCCTTGATTCAATCCGTAGCACCACTGTTTACATGCAGGGAGTGGCAAGAGGAAGAGAGAAAACAAGCACAATGGCCCGCCACAACAGCCTCGTCCCAACAGAGAGCCACATGAGGACACCCTGAATCATAATGCAGTCAATGTGACATGAGCAGTGAGGGAATGATGACATGAGGATGTATCACATGTTGAAAGTTTCAGATGTTCCAAGTTATGAACAGATCTCTAGCATCCTCACGCTCACTGGGGGCCATCCCCTCCCCCTGCAGAGACAAGTGTTTTTACTCTAAACAGAGAGGAATCATTTGACTAATGGATTAATTATAAAAAAATTGCCTTTGAAGATGATTCATAAGTACATATCAATACTTTGAGACATAGCACTTTGAGTTTCCCCTTGTAATATTCAGACACAAGTAGTGAACAGTAAGAGCCAGCACCTAGCAAGACAAGAGCATTCAGGCCTCAAAGTTCACCTAATGTAGCTAATCATCTTCTTTATGTGATAATAATAAACCTACGTGACTTACCCAAATAATTCCTCTGCTAATACAAACCCAAACAAACAATTAGATTATGAAAAGGATCATTAGTATTGGCAATTACAGAATTTGGTACATAGATCCAGACATGAACTTTCAGCCAAGAGTCTCTACCAGACTCACATTTGTAGTTCAATCTAAGAGACTTCTTTTTTTTTTTTGCTAGTCCTGGGGCTTGAACTCAAGGCCTGGGTACTGTCCCTAAACTCCTTTTGCTAAAGGCTCATGCTCTACCACATCTGGCTTTTTCTGTGATTGATTGGAGCTAAGATTTTGATGGACTTTCATACCCAAGCTGGCTTTAAACTTCAACCCTTAGCTCTCAGACTCCTGAGTAGCTAGGTTTATGGTCATGAATCACTGGCACCCAGCTACAGTCACAAATATTTATTGTTGTCTCAGAACTATTTATACAGATTAACTATTAGTTGGTCAGAGTTTTACCTCTCTAGCTGATTTCTGTTCAGACTTTTGATTTTTTGTGTGTCAATAAAGTAAGCAGAAGATGGTCTTATTAAATAACCCTCCACTTGGACAGACATCTTCTGAGAGTTGACCATTCTCAAAGACCCAGAATATCCCTTGGTGTGAGTGAATGGAGTATTGATGATCATTTCACATATTCAAAACAGTAAGTTCTTAGATTCACAGCAAAGTATTCTGAGAAGAATGTTGGAAGATCTGATAGCAAGTAATGGAAAGATCATGCATATTTTCACACGTGAACACATGACCTAGACAAATGTATTTTGTTAGTTGCTATAAATTTTTTCAAAGATGGAAGGGGCTGGCGATCACAATGTTGAATGAGATAAGCCAAATGCAGAAAGCTAAACATGGCATATTCTTACTCATTTGTGGACTATAGACTTAAAATGATGATAATCAGGACAAACAGTAATGGGACATGAGTGCAAAATGGGGACTAGCTGGGGAGGAGGATCAGTGAGAGGAGAGAGAGGGGAAAGGTGAAGTGTGTGTGTGTGTGTGTGTGTGTGTGTGTGTGTGTGTACTGCAGCTTGAACTCAGGGCCTTATGCTCTCACTTGGCTTTTTCTCTACCACTGGAACCATACCTCCACTCCTGGCTTTTTGCTGGTTAATTGGAGGTAAGAGTCTCCTGGATTTGTCTGTGCAGATTGGTTTCAAAGTATGACCTCACATTTCAGCCTCCTGAGTTAGTGCTGTGAGCCACTGGCACCCAACTAAAATATAATATGTAAGAAAAGATTTTCTTTTAAATAGAGACTATTAAAGTGTTTCTCTGTTCCTCTTCTTTCTACAGTTCAGCCATGTGGCAATTTGGGGAAGCATGGTCATCTGGCTGGTGTTTTATACCATTTACTCTTCCTTATGGCCTGTCATACGTATTGCTCCAGAAATGAAAGGACAGGTTAGTTTTACCAAGTATTAGTGTTTTTATATTCTTCAGGAAAATCAAGTTTCATTAACAATAAAAGTTGGTGTCACCTATTTTCACAGTTGAGGAAGAAAAGATAAAAATTAACCAGGTGCCAGTGACTCACACTTATAATCCTAGCTACTCAGGAGGCTGAAATCTGCAAATGACAGTTCAAAGCCAGCTCAAACAGGAAAGTCCATGACACTCTTATCTCCAATGAACCACTAAAAAACGGCAAGTGGATGTAGCTCAAGTGATAAAGCAACAGCCTTAGACAAAAAAGCTAAGGAAAAACAAGAGTCCCTGAGTTCAAGCTCCAGAACCGCACAAATAAAAAAAGAAAAGAAAGAAAGAGAGTGGGTGATGGGCATCCTTCTTCAACTGTGACTAAATAGCTGATGTTGAAACAACCTGACAAAAGAGTGGTAGAAACCGAACACTCATTTCAAGCCATCAGCAAGAAATCAATAGACATAATACTTAAAGTCTACAAGTCTTCAAAGGGAAATTTTTAGTATGATGTATCAATCATCTATAGAGAATATTCTCAGATCAACCATTTTGTCTTCTGTTAGGAAATTCAAAAAAAAAATGAAGAGCATCTGAAACCCAAATTTAGAAAGACAAAGGAAATTATAATTCTGGCACTGGAAAAAATGACTTAAATAAAAATAGCTAATCATCTGGTAATATCTAGCAAAACAGTGTCTTATCAGGATAATTTTAAGCTTATATACATGTATTAGAAAAGATCCTGGAAAAAAACCAATGGCTTATTTTATCCAGCTCAAAAAGCTATATAATGAATAATCAAACTGCTAAGTACCAGTGGCTCATGCCTGTAATCCTAGCTTCTCAGGAGGCTGAGATTTTAGGATTGCAGTTCAAAGTCAGCTCAGGCAGGAAAAGTCTGTGAGACTCTTATCTCCAGTTAACCACCAGAAAACCAGAAGTGGTGGTGTAGCTCAAAGTAGTAGAGTGCTAAGCCTTGAGCACAAAAGCTTAGAGACAATGCCCAGGCCCCACGTTCAAGACCCACAACTGACAAAAAAAGGAAAAAAAAGAATAATCATCTAGGCACCAGTGGCTCATGCCTATAATCTTAGCTACTCAGGAGGCTGAGATCTGAGGATCATGGTTCAAAGCCTGCCCAGGCAGGAAAGTCTATGAGACTCTTATCTCCAATTAACTACCAGAAAACTGAAAGTGGTGCTGTGGCTCAAGTGGTAGAGCACTCACCTTGAGCTGAAGAGCTGAGGGACAGCACCCAGGCCTGGAGTTTAAGTCCCATGACCAACCAAAAAAAAAAAAAAAGAAGAAGAATCAAGCCTAAGAAAACTAGAAAAAGGAAACAATGAAGCTAAAAAGTGGAAATTTAGTACTATGAACTCAAACCTCAGTTCATAAATAATGAGGGTTTTGGAGAAAAGGAGGCATAAAGTTTTATTAATTTTGTGAAGCAAAGTAAGGACCATCCGATATCTCAAGACAAAAAGTACAGTCCTAAACTGGGTGGCAGCAACTCATGCCCATAATCCTAGCTACTCAGGAGGCTGAGATCTAAGGGTTGCGGTTTGAAGCCAGCCTGAGCAGGAAAGTTTATGAGACTATCTCCCATTAACCAGCAAAATGCTGGAAGTGGAGGTGTGACTCAAGTGATAGAGCACCAGCCTTGAACAAAATGCTCAAGGACAGCACTCAGGCCTAGAGTTCAAGCCCCAGGGCCAGTACCGAGAAAAAAAAAAGTCCAGTCCTGCTCCCATCAGGGAAGATGAATTTGTCGAGAAAAGCTCCTGAGCATGGACTTTGTGGATGTACCTGCTCACTTTTGCCAGATGGTGGCCTGTACATTTTCTGGTGTCCTTGTGTTAAATATCCAGATATTCCTTGCTGTCCAGAATGTTCCTCCATTCACATGGTCAGCAAAGAGAGACAGGGGCATTATAATCTCACCTGGAGCTGTACATGACATAAAATGGTTACGATGTAGCTCAACATTCTTGGGTTTCCTCACATGGTGGAGTGGGGGTGGGGAGGGAAATAGGACAAGGAGAATAAAAAGAATAAGGGACATTCTTTTAAAATTACACAACTCAAAGCAGGCTAGCTAGTAAAATGAGATATTGAGCTACAACTGATTGTTGTGAGTATGTAGGATTTGTTTCTCTTCAAGGGATAATTAGGATAAGAAATGGGAAACAATTTCACAACTGAGAAAAATCAACAAAAGATCAGAATTGAGTCTTTGAAAAGTTTAAATAAAATTGGTAAGCCCCTAACAAAATGATTAAGAAAGAAAAAAAGAGAAAACACTATCACCAGAATAGGAACTTTCCTATTTGGGCTAACTTCAAACTGCAATCCTCAGATCTCAGCCCCCTGAGGAGCTAGGATTATAGGCGTGAACCACCAGCGCCCATCTTCCATCTGTTTTTTGTGCATCTGTACAGTTCAAGTTGTCTATAATTGCCTATTTTTCTTTCCCAAATCACCAGTTGTTGTGGGAAGGAGGAAATGGTTGCACAAATACTCAATACTGGTGAACTGAAGCATTGTTCTTTAATTTTCTTTATTTCTATTTCTTTGCAGGCCAACGTGACACTGATATGTCCATATTTCTGGCTGGGCCTTTTCATAGTCCCTGTTATATGCTTGATTCCAAACGTATTTTGGAAATCGTAAGTTGAAAACTGAAGTGGTAATTAAGACATAGATCTTCATGTTTACCCTTTTCCAGTTGTATGTACATCTTTCAAAGTAAACTGAGTGCCATTTTGTGAATATCGAATGATATGGCCCTCAGCTTTTCTTTTAGAGAGAAAAAATATTTAGAACTCAAACACATGGAAGAGTGCATAGAATGTCTTGTTCATGATTGTTTTTCCTGAAAGCAATTGCACCCCTCCACTCTTTTTTTTTTTTTTGTCAGTCGTGGGGCTTGAACTCTGGGCCTGGGCGCTGTCCCTCAGCTCTTCATCTCAAGGCAAATGCTCTTCCACCTGAGCCACAGTGCCACTTCCAGTTTTCTGGTAGTTAATTTGAGATAAGATTCTCCATGGACTTTCCTGCCCGGGCTGGCTTTGAACCATGATCCTCAGATCTCAGCCTCCTGAGCAGCTGGGATGACAGGCGTGAGCCACCCCGGCACTCGGCTGCACCCCTCCACTCTTTAGAAGTGTGACCTGCATCACTTTTATCTGTATTAAAGGAGCCAGACTGGATGCCAGAGGGTCACAGATTAAAAACTAAGAAATAAAGCTGGTCACCAGTGGCTCACACCTGTAATCCTAGCTTCTTAGCGGGCTTAGAACTGGAAGATGGTGAGCCCAGGAAGAAAAACATAGGCAAGACTCTGCCTCAGTTAACCAAAAAGATGGGGTTTCCAGCATAGTTCAAATAGTAAGCACCAGCTTTAAGCAAGCAAATTGATCAAGTGCAAGTTCCTGAGTTCAAGCCCAGTACTGTAATAAAAGGAAGGAATAGAGGGAGGGAGAGAAAAAATGGAGGAAAAAGGGAAGGAATACAAAGACAGCAACAGAAGGGATATGCTCAATAGAAAAGTGTCCTTCACTCTTTCAAAAAAATTTGGAGTAAGAATCTATCAAAAATAGTTTCCCCTAAGTACTTAAATATTATTAGATTAGAGAATCTCAAGTTTTTTAACCAACTGCAAGGAAAACCATAAACCTATTTTTTGCGTGCAGTACTGGGGCTTGAACTCAGAGCCTTGGCTCTTATAAGCATGGCTTTTTCACTCAGGGATAGTAATTTGGTGCTCTACCATTTGAGCCACACCTCCACTTCTGGCTTTTTTTATGGTTATTGGAGATAAGAATCTCACAGATTTTCCTGACAGGACTGGGTTCAAACTGAAGTACTCAGATCTTAAAATAAGAGCCTCAGATATTAAAACGAGGTATTATAAAACCTTGACATCCTTATTATTAAGGCTAAAGTTTCAAGAAGTGATAAGGTTTTAAAAACAGAAGCAATTCATTTAGAGTATGAATTATTATATGTGTTCTATTTCATGAACATCAGAGCTTTAGCAGTGGTGGAGAGCATCAGGCCCAGGGGTCACATCAGGCCATCGAAATGATTTAGTACATGAGAAGACAGACATTACGTTTCTCCTATGCTTCTCATCAGCTTCCTGAGACTGCTTGCACTAATCATTTTGTATGGCTCGCAGATGATGCTGTAAATATCAAATGGCCCTTGGAAGAGAAAGGCTCCTCACCCTGCAAGCATGGTACATTGAAACTAACTGATGAATGGCGCAAGCTTTAGACTGGAAGAGGCAATTTCAGTTTTTGCTTTTCCTTATTGAATTCTTCCTCCTCCTCCTCCTCCTCCTCCTCCTCGTCCTCCTCCTCGTCCTCCTCCTCCTCCTCCTCCTCCTCCTCGTCCTCCTCCTCGTCCTCCTCCTCCTCCTCCTCCTCCTCGTCCTCCTTTTTCTTCTTCTGTTGCCAGTCCTGGGGCTTGAACTCTGGGCCTGGGCATTGTCCCTGAGCTCCTTTGTGCTCAAAGTTAGATCTCTTGAGCCACAGCTCTACTTCTGGTTTTCTGGTGGTTAATTGGAGCTAAGAGTCTAGTGGACTATCCTGCCCCAACTGGCTTTAAACTACAATCCTCAGCCTCCTAGGTAGCTAGGATTACAGGTGTGAGCACCTGGTTCTTATCTAATTCTTAAATGTATTCTACCATTTGTAGAGCCTAGATCTTTCCCACTGTTTTGCCCCCAAATATATCAGATTTATTTCCCTCTTCATTTCTTCTTGATGTCTCCTATTCTCCTAATCCTCCCTCTCCCTCTATATGTGTATATGTGTGTGTGTGAGAGAGAGAGACAGACAGTGAGACAGAGAGACAGAGAGAGACAAACAGAAACAGAGAGACAGAGACAGAGACATAGGTAGAGCAGGAGGTAGGGGAAGAAGGAGAGAAAGAGAGAGAAGTTGCTTGATAAAGTCTTTATTTTGGTATTAATTTGTAAACCAAAGATAGCAGTGGATAATGGAATGAAAGTACTAATATGGTTGTACTCTATGATCCTGAGCGTAGACATGAGGTTCTGGGCAGAGATGGGTAGATGCATAATTATTACACTCTGCAGTAGCTTCATTGATTCCCACTTCTCCAGTGTCTCCCCTTCTGGGTGATGCGGTGAGCAAGGGCCAGGCTGCAAGTGTCAGAGATACACTGAAAAGTGTGAACCCAAAATATGAATCTCAAAATATGAACCTAGGAGTTGATGTTGGAGAGGGACAGCTCCTCTCTTTGCTCTACAATGCAAACAAATTTTTTGACAAAAGGGAAGGATTATGGGTTCCAGTCCCATAATCCATATTGGAATGTAAGTATCAGTTCCCAGGGATGAACTAAACCACATGTCTCTTGAGGATAATGCCTGCACTATCACTGGTTCCAGGTCTCATCTCTTCTTGAAATGTAAACATTTCTATTCCCAAATAAAAATACTATTTGGTTACTATTGCCATTGAAGGGACCCACAAAGTGGCTCATACCTGTAATTGCAATCACTCAGGAAACAGTGATCATTAGGATCGAAGTTTAAGTCTACTCCTGGCAAAAATTTACTGAGATCCCCATCTCAACAAATAAGCTAAGTGTGGTTGGCATGTGTCTGTGATCCCAGCTACACAGGAGGGCGTAGGTAGGAGGACTGCAATCCTATGCCAGATCTGCGGAAAAATGCAAGACCCTACCTGAAAGTAACTAAAGTAAGAAAGGGTAGCGTTAACTCTCCCAGCCTAGCAAAGATGGTCAAACTGTGAGCCCAAACCCCACTACCACAAAACAAACTAAGCTCATATGTTATATCGTTTTCTATTCCCACATGCTATAGGCTTAAAAATACCCACAACAAAAGTCTTCTAGAAGAAATTCGGGAGCTGGAAAGCAGACAAATTACAGGAGCTGATGTATCTCAGGTGTTTAGGAAGAGGTAAGTCTTTTCTCTTCACCCTGGTTTCGATGAAGATCGCTTACTCCTTGTTCTTTCTCCCACCTTCTCCTCGCCAGAACTTGCGGGCTTTCCCAGGTTCCGTCAGCGCTTGACAAACAGGCACAGTCCCCTTCATGTTGCCCCTCAGTGCAGTCTCCTCCCCTGCACAGGATGCACAAAACTCAGCAACAGATGTATGTTAAGTGAATTTTAGAATGGAAAAAAAAAATGAGTCCATCATGATAGAAACTTCAGATTTCAACCAGAAAGTTGAAAGAGAAAGATTACAAATATAAAATAAATCCATCAAAATCTAGATTTGAGAGATGGAGACACAGTAATTACATTTGTGAGGACTTATAGCACTGAACTTGTGTGTGTGTGTGTATCTGTCTGTCTGTCTGTCTGTCTGTATGTGCATGCACGTGAACCAGTTTTGAAGCTTGAACTCAGGTCCTTGTGCTCTCACTTGGCTTTGTTTGCACTCTTTTCACACATTTTGGTGGTGGTGGTGGTGGTTGTGGGGCTTGAACTCGGCCTGGGCACTGTCCCTGAGCTCTTCAACTCAAGGCTCTACCACTTGAGTTACAGCGCCACTTCCGGTTTTCTATTGGTTTATTGGAGACAAGTGTCTCACAGACTTTCCTGCCTGGGCTGGCTTTGAACTGCCATCCTCAGATTTCAGTCTCCTGAGTAGCTAGGATTACAGGTGTGAGCCTGCACTCTAAAATTTGAGCCACAGCTCCACTTCTGGACTTTTGTTGATTAATTGGACATATGAGTCTCATGGACTTTTCTGCCTGCCTGGCTTTGAAGCTTGATCTCCAGATCTCAGCCTCCTGAGTAGGAAGGATTATAGGTGTGAACCAGTTACCAGAGGCATTTTAAAAAATTATTTATTGTTATTGTAAAGGTGACACACACAGAGGTTAGGGTTATATAAGTCAAGTAAAGAGTACATTTCTTTTTGAACAATGTCACCCCTTCCTCTCCCAGTTTTTCCTTTCTGTCCTCATCCACGAGTTGCATGGTTCATTTTCAGCGTAGTGTCTAGTGAGTACCACTTCTCACCTTTGTAGCATCATTTCTGTGCCTCCCCTTATTCTCTCACAAACAAAAGAAAGGAAAACAAAAACCACAGCAAAGAAGAAATAAAAAAAGTCATTTCTATTTCCTGGAGTTGATCCATGCATTTTTATAATACACCAAGTTAACTTCCATGTAAGAAGCCACAACCAAAGTCAAAACACAATATACACATACAAAAAGAAAGCTTGCATAAACAGAAGAACAATCTACTAAACAGATCAAGTGTTTGAATGTTTGGGTAGTTTCTAGAAATCAGCAAGAAAAAGGCCATCAAACAATAAAATAGTAGCAAAGGAAATACATTTGGCCCTCAAACTTAGAATATTTTCCACTTTTGTCAAAATAAGAAGTGAAAATGATAAGCACATGAAAAGAAACAAATTTCATACATCAGAGTTGGCAACCCCTAGTGAGTGACGTTGTGGGGAGAAAGAGTTCCGGCACCAGACGTGACAGCACATGTCTGTAATCCCAGCCACTCAGAAAGCAGAGACAGGAGGATTATGGTTAGATTGGCTAGTCTGGGTAAAAGTTACCAGAGAGCCTATCTGAGAAACAAACTTGGAGCCACAGGACTGGGTTGTGTGGCTCAAATAGTCGGGCACGAGCCAAGGTCCTCAGTTAAGTTTCTAATAACAACATATATACATATATATGTATGTATTATATATTGTATATATTACATAGTTCATATGTAATGTCTTAGGTATTTTACTTTGTTATTATATTATATGGCTGCTGTTTTTAATCCTGGTTTGAATTAAGAATAAATTCTCAACTGGGCCTCGTGCCTCCTAGCTACTCGGGAGGCTGAAATCTGAAGATTGCAGTTCAAAGCCAGCCAAGAAAGGAAAGTTGGCGACACTCTTACCTCAGTTAACCATCAAAAAGCTGGAAGTGGAGGTGTGGCTCAAGTAGTAAAGCACTAGCTTGAGCAAAAGAAGTTCAGGGATACTGACCAAGCCCTGAGTTCAAGTCCTAAGACTAGCGCGCACGCGCGCACACACACACACACACACACACACACACACACACACGCACACACGCACACACACACACATGCACACACACACACACACACACACACACACAAACTCATTCTTGCTTCCCTTCCAGGCCCTTCCTGAGGCCTGGTGACACACAGAAAGAAAACATGTCAGGCCAGATTAAATGAGTATTTTTTGTCACATCTTTTAGTTTATAGGAGAAAAGAAAAAAACAAAACAAACTTCCCTAATTCCCCTCCCTTGGAGGGGCAAGGTCAGGAAATGACCTGAGTGTTTAGCATTTCGAAAGTCCTACACTTGATTTTCACAACAAGTTTCAGGGGCTCCAGGAGGAAATCCTCCCAATGTCTTCACTGACCCTTCTTGACATCTTTCCATTCACAAAGGAAGTTGGGACAGAGCTTTTAAAGATATAAAATCTTTAAGGTGTTCTGGGAAGCCAGAGGGTTAGCAAGGCATTTACAATTCAGAAAGGAACAGAAAGTTGTATTGAATCCAAGCTACTCAGGAGGCTGAGATCTAAAGCTGTCCGAAGACACCCAGGGCAGAAAAGTGTGTGGGATTCTTATCTCCAACTAAATAGCTAAAAGCCAGAAATGGAGATATGGCCCATGAAGGAGAACACCAACCTTGAGAGAAAAAGCTAAGGAATAGTACCCAGGCCCTGAGTTTAAGTCCCAGTACTATCATAAAAGCCAAACCAAGTCAAAACAAAAAATACAATGAAGGGCTGGGAAGGTGGCTCAGTGGTAGAGCGCTTGCCTTGCATGCCTGAGGCCCTGGGTTCCATTCCTCAGCACCACATAAGCAAAAAGAAAAAAAAAGCCGGAAGTGGTACTGTGGCTCAAGTGGTAGAGCGCTAGCCTTGAGCTGAAGAGCTGAGGGACAGCACCCAGGCCCAGAGTTCAGGCCCCACGACTGGACCCCCCCCCCCAAAAAAAATACAATGAAATGTTCAAAGCAAAACAGTATTTTAAAAGCAATACTTTGTTGAGACTGAAGATCATTCTATATTCAATACACAAGCAGTCAGTCCCCAGTATGAGAGAGAGTTTAATTTCTTTGAAATCTGTTTGAATGAACTAATGCCAGGCTGTATTTGATTGACTTTCAGGACAACACTAGGAAGTTTACAAATTTTACCCCGTCCTTGTGAGGTCAGTCTCCGGAACAATTCTGTGGATATACACGCCCCGCGTAAGTAATGCACTGTTACGTAGGTTGTGACATAGAAACTCCAGCTGCTTACAAGAATGACAATTGGGTCATTTCATTTGGGGCCATTAGGCTACATGAAATAAGCCTGTGGTCCCATTTATATGTGGTATTTAAAGCAGTCACAGTCATCAAGGCAGACAGTGGCTGGTGGGGATATGTTTTATGGATAGAGACTTCCAGTTTTGCAAGAATAAAAGAATTTTGGAAATGGAAGTGAACATAGTTAAGGCCAGCAAGCGGTGCATTCAAAAGTGATTACCATGGTATGCTAATTACAGTTATGAAAGATAAATGAAACTATTGTAACGCTAGTGTGTGTGTGTGTGTGTGTGTGTGTGTGTGTGTGTGTGTGTGTACAGATACCAGGGCTTGACCTCAGTCCCTTAGCTTTTTCACTCAGCTTGGTGCTCTACCACTTGAGCCACAGTTCCACTTCCAGGTTATATATGTATTATGTATTTATTTTGGTAATTAATTGTGGATAAGAATCACATGGACTTCCCTGCTGGTTTCAAACTTCAGTCCTCACAACTCAGGCTCCCAAGTAACTAGGATTACAGGTGTGAGCCACCAGTGCCTGGCTGACTATCTTTTTTTTTTTTTTTTAATAGGGAAAGAAGTCATTTAGGTTTGAGGAAGTAGTGTTTGTTCTAAAGAGTACAAATTGAAAAAATTTATTCCTAGTTTCTCCTTCCTAAATCACGCAACCCATACACATAAATCTTACTGTCTTCAAAATTCGGACAGATTTGTATTATACTGTTTTAAAGGTAAACACGGTGTTAGCTCCAAATTATTTTTACCCAAGAAATCTTGCATACTTTTTTTGGTTCTATCTAAAGTGTGTGTGTGTGTGTTGGTGTAGGGGCTTGAACTCGGGGCTGGAGCTCTTAATTGGTTTTTTTGCTCCAGACTGGCACTCTGCTATGTGAGCTTTTTTCCTGGCTGGGTGGAGATAGAGTATCACGGAAAAGCCAAGGCTGGCTTCAAAGTACAGCCCTCAGATCTCAGCCTCCTGAGTAGCCAAGATTACAGGCATCAGCCACAGGCTTACATCTTTTCATTTTCCTTTAATAACAAATGTATCTAAAAGCACCTGGTGGGAGGCTTAGGCCTTTCCTAACCTATTTGGCAACAGTAAAGCCAAATTCTGTATGAGGAAAAGAAACAAGCCAAACAAAAAGATAGTCACTATAAAAGAACCATTGATCTTTATCAGGTGTGAGACCAAACTCTCCCCTTTGTTCAAGGTGCTCATAGAAAGTTGTCAAATTTTTTAATGTCTAGATTCTCTTACTACCTATTTTTTTCTATGCTTCCAATGTACATACATACTTCTTTGGATGAGTCAGTGCTTCTCTGTTGGACACACATATACACACACACACACACACACACACACACACACACACTTCCTTCTTTAGCCTGTCCTGTGTCCACCACTTCACTTCTTTCCCTCCTCCTAGAGTCAGTCGAGAAGAGGAAAGGATGAACCAGACAAGAAAAAAGCAGAGCAAACATTTCAATGATCTGTTAACATTTAAATGGAAATAAGAAGGCACAAAGGTTTGAAGCCAGCCAGGGAAGGAAAGTCCATGAGACTCTTTATCTCTAATTAGCCACCAAAAAGCCAGAAGTGGAGCTATGGCTCAATAGTAGCATGCTAGCCTTGAGCCCTGAGTTCAAGCCCCAGGACCAACACAAAAAACACCCAAACCAAACAACTCCCCTTCCCCCACATACACTGTTACTTCCAGTGTCCCCCAACCCCTTACATATTAATCTGTGAACCCAGAATAGTTATTGTTTGAAGAGTTCCCTAAGTAGTTCTAATACCACCAGGTTTACACTACTCCATTCCTAGCATGCCTGCCTCCCATCTTTCCTTGCTGGCCATCACAGAGATTCCCCAGCCCAGCCTCTAGCACCCCTAACATGGTCTCTTGTCTTTGCTCTTCAGATGGGTACGCATTTTCTCAAACAGAACAGTCTGTGATCACTCAGGAAGAGCTGGTCCGTTGCTATAACACCTCTCTAATAGAATCCAAGACTTCTCAGAAGACTTCATCCTTGGTTGATGAAGATTCGGATCAAGTCTCCAAAGCTCATGTTTTCCACTGAGTGTGGAGAGAGCAGCCCTTTTGTGTGAGGCTCAGACCAGCCGCTTCACTGGGTCACAGGAATAAAATAACAAGAGGACCCTCTTTTGCTTTTAGTTTTTTTTTTTTCTTTCCTCGGTGTGTGATGTAATTCCATTCAGCCTGAATATAATATTTCAAACCCACGTCAGTGTTAGAATTTTGGTACAAGTTGTTTTGGGGAAAGGAAAACAAAAAGATGTCATGGGGTCTAATAAAGTTAGGGAAAGGGCCGTTCAAGAACTTGGTGTTTTCAAGACTCCAGATGAAGTGGATGACGCAATACAAGTAGGATGTCAGCTACACTGAAGCCAGAAAGGGAAGATAAGACCCTGGCTCACCTGCCCCTGTCCTTCCTAACCCATCCCGGACATGAATGCCAGGCATGTGCACTTCCTTCACTGCTCACATCTGTAGGCCAGGGCCATGCCATGAGCTCCTCTTACTCTTGCTCACAGGAGCCATGAATGGAATGGAGGGATGCTGCTTCATTCCCTTGGCACTCTTCCCTCCTGTTGTCCAGGCTGTCCTGACCTACTCCAGCTTCCCAAACTATCTCATCTTGTAATAGCACATTGATTTCCTGGCTGGGCTCCTATACTACTGGCTATCCAGGAATGCTGAGGTCTGAGCAACCAGACTGGAAATCAGTCCAGGCAGACAAGTCTATAGTCCCTGCTACATGAGTAGTAGAACTGGAAAGATCACTATGGAAGGCCCACCTTCTCCTCCACTCGAAAAGTGATAGGAAGACTGTATCTCAAAAAGCAAACAGATAAGCCAGGTCTGGTGGCCTACTTCTGTAACCCCAGCTATCCAGGAGGCAAAGGTAGGAGGATCAGAGACTCGTAAAAGTGAAAAAGGATTGGGGGGTATTGGTCAAGTGGTACTGTGCCACTTGCAAAAACAACTATTTCTTTATTAACAAAGGAGGGAAAGGGGGAAGGCAATTACAAACCACAGGAAACCTGTGAAGAAAGTGAAGGTGTGAATAAGAAGGTAATAAGTGTCTGATATTCATGGTATATATACAAAAAGATAATGAATTTGTCCTTGAAGATGTTTTGGTTAGCATCAAAACCAGTCCATAGCGTGTTCTTGGGCTAGAGTGGCTTTCTTCATTGAAAGAACGAATTTAAAATGGGTGATGTTGAGAAAGGCAAGATTTTTGTCTAGAAGTGTGCCCAGTGCTACACTGTTGGAAAGGGAGGCTAACACAAGACTGGATCTACTCTTTGTGGTCTGTGTTTGGCTAGAAGACAGGTCAAACAGCTGCACTCTCTTACACAGATGCCCACAACAAAGGCATCACCTAGGGAGACAATGCTCTGATGGAGTCTGGAGAATACTCAAAAGCACATCCCTGGAACAAAATGATCTTTGCTGGCATTAAGATGGGAGAAAGGGAAGATTTAATAGCATATTGCAAACACATTACAAATGAGTAATAGCTACTGCTTTTTTTATTTATTGCAAAACAAATGTCTCATGGCTTTAAAAATGTGTACCATATTTTAATGGCTCTCTAACATCAAAATTTACATCATAAATGGCTGACAGAATATTTTTGTTGGACTGTTCGGATTTAAGTAAAACTAGCTGTGGTTAAGTGAATATGAGCTTTTTTAAAAATAGTAAAATCAGCTCAGTAAATACTATCATTATTTTCCCTCTCTGTGATATAATTGGACTTAGTAATAATGTTCAATTTTTCAAAAAGATAAAGAATAATAACACCTCCAAATCTATCAAAGATTGCTTTTGTGTTCAGGTTTATATAACCGGTTATGAAAACATGTTGAAATACTGGGGGAAATCACTTCACTGTCTCAGAACCAAGCAAATTCACCTGTGTTTTAATTTATACTCATTAACCAGTTAAGGGCAATGGTTGGAGATGAAGAAGCAGTGTTTATATTTTTGGTCTCGACTATGCCAAATTAATAAGAATACTCTATATCTGACATCTGCCTTTTACTTGTTGAAAGACATTTTAGTATGGTGTATGTATAAATGTCAAAGAATATTTAACACTTCTCACATTTTATAATTGATTTGTAAGTTCAGATGCTTTTTAAAATGAGTGTGATAAGATACAATAGCAACCTAGACTTTATTTTTGACTTCTTTACTAAGAACACTAACTTATCATTCAGGATTGTCTTTAAGCAGCTTTTCAGAAGAACACAATTGTGGAACTAAAGTGTGTGTGATTGATGGTGCTTTTTGCCAACTTCTTAGAGAAAAAGATTCAAGTAGAGAAAATACTTTGTAAATTATGTGGCATTAAGATTTAAGGCAATTAAAGACAATAATTCCATATAAAAGATGTTGTGGGCCAGGCACCTGTGGCTCATGCCTGTAATCCTAGCTACTCAGGAGGCTGAGATCTGAGGATCATGGCTCAAAGCCAGCCCGGGGAAGGAAAGTCTGTGAAACTCTTATCGCCAATAAACCACCAGAAAACTGGAAGTGGTACTATAGCTCAAGTAATAGAGCGCTAGCCTGGAGCTGAAGAGCTGAGGGACAGCATTCAGGCCCAGAGTTCAAGGCCCATGACCGACAAAAAAAAAAAAAAAAAAAAAAAGATGTTGTGGTTAGACTAGAAAAGATACAAATTCAATAAAATTGAGCATAGAAAAACTATAGAGAAGACAATGAAATTTAGTCTACTAGGTTAAGCAGAGGTCGTATACTATAAAAATAATGTATTATATGTTGTTTTTCCATTTATAAGAAGACATGAATTAATCAGAATAAAATATTAACAGGCTTAAAAATGGAAAACCAAGAAAAGTCAATAGACTAGGAGAATAAAATGAGGTAAGAATTCATAAGACATAAACTCTAAACGATGAAAGAGACCCAGAGGTTTAAGACATAATTTAAAAGCCAGGTTGTGGCTCACACCTATCATTTCAGCTAGCTACTCAAGAGGCTAAGATCTGAAGATTGTAGTTCTAAGCCAGCCCAGGGAAGGAAAGACAGGGAAACTTTTATCTCTAATTAACCAGCAGCAAAAATTTGGAAGTGGAGCTGTGGCTCAAGTGGTAGAGTAGTAGGCTTCAACACCAAGGCTGAGGGACAGCACTCATGGTTTGTGTTCAAGCCCCAGGATATTCTCTCTCCCTCCCCCCCCCTCTTCACATACACACACACACACACACACACACACACACACACACACACATAAAGTTATGACAAAGGCTAAAAATGTGTTTGATCATTACTTTCCTAGCATGTAACAGGGCCTAGGATCTTATCTCTACCATCACAGAATAGGTACATCAACAAAATGAAAGTTTTCCTTAAAAAATTAAGTGTGACAATAATAGAATACTTTAAAAAAAAAGAACACACTTATTAACTTGTTTCCAATGGCTCATGTCAGGATTTCATGAGCTAGTATTGGAATCCTAGATACTCTCAAAAGGCTGAGATATGAGGATCATGATTTGAAGCCTGCCTAGGCAGAAAAGTCCATGAGACATCCCCAATGAACTATCAAAAAGCTAGAAGTGGAACGGGGGCTCAAGTGGTAAAGCCCTAACTTTGAGTAAACCAGCCAACCAACCAACCAAGAAAACCCCTAAGGGTCAGTGTCAGGTTCTGAGTTCAAGCTCCGAGTTCAAGCTCCAATAGCTGCACAAAAAATATAATTATCACAAACTGCGATAAGAAAGATGAGGTGGCAAACAAGTGAATGTTTTCAAGAGAGATGGGCCGCAATAAGCCCAGGGATCAGTCTTACACTACCCTCTCTGAACTTTGTGAGAAATGGAGCCCCACTCATCCCAGCAAATAGCACACAGTTTATTACTTGTTTGGAGTGGACAGTTCCTTCAATAGCCTCCTCATCCCCATGTGTTAGTACACATATGCATGCCCTAGTAGAATCTCCTCCCAGAAGGATGGGATGTCACTCACAAGATAAAATTATGTGACTCCAATTTTCCATGGTTCTCTGGATATTTCCCCAGGTTTGGTCTGGGATATATCACTCATTTTGTTTAAGCCACAGTTTCTACCACACTTAGATATTTAATTATTATCATGGAGAAAGTCTGTCATCAATAAGGGTTGGAATTGAAATTCAGTTACTGTGAATTGTTCTAGGTTAAGGAAAAGTCTACAAGAATCTCTGGAATGACTGAAAACTTTTGGAACACTACAATCCAGAGAAATGGACACCAGGGGGCAGTAGAGACTTTCCTTCTCTGCTCCAGCCCTGTTGCCTGCATTGTGAAGTCATGGCATACTTCCAATGCCAGACTTCTGTAGCTTTTCCAGGGTCATAGCTGTATTTAGAGTTCATCCGCCTCTCCACTTCCCCCACCCCATACCAGTTGGTATAGTTTTCTATTGTGAGTCTTGATTTTCCTCCTGCACTCAGTAAACATCGCACTGACTCTAAAATAAAACATCTGGTGGGCCAATAGAATAGTATTTGATTCACAGATTTGAATTATGGGCCGTGAATCTAATTCTTTTTCTTTTGTTTTTTCTTCTGCTGTTTGTGAGTTTTTGTGCTGGCACTGGAGCTTAACTTAGGGCCTGGGCACTGTCTTTAGCTTTTTTGCTCAAGGCTGGTGCTTTATCACTTGAGCCACACACTTCCATTTCTGGCTTTTTGGTGTTAATTGGAGACAAGAATCATGTGGACCTCACTGCCAGGGCTGGCTTCAAACCATAGCCCTCAGATCTCAGACTCCTAAATAGCTAGGATACAATTTTAAGCCACCAGCACATGGCTTCTTGTCCCACTTTTAATTTTTGTTTGTGCTTTTTAGACTAAATTCCACCATGTTTCAGAAGCTTCTAATACAACTGGTAAGGGCAAATATATACAAACCATTTTCTTGTTTGATTTTGCTTTTCTGACTATCCTGGTACATGTGTGTTCTAGTGTATGAATCGGATCTGAGGTAGAGTGGAGCCACTTCCAATTTCCCCAGCCATTCAGCTTCCTCTTCCTCCCATGGG